GGAAAGGAAAGGAAAGGAAAGGAAAGGAATAGAATAAGAAAGGAATACAATAAAATAAGAATAGAATAAGAATAGAATAAGAATGGAATGGAATGGAATAGGATAGGATAGGAAAGGAAAGGAATAGAATAAGAAAGGAATAGAATAGGATAGGATAGGATAGGGTAGGGTAGGATAGGATAGGATAGGATAGGATAGGATAGAATAGAAGAGTTGGAAGGAACCTTGGAGGTCTTCTAGTCCAACCCCTTGCTCAAGGAGGAACCTCTATACTATTTCAGGCAAACGGTTTCCAATCTCCTCTTAAAAGCCCCCAGTGATGGCGTATCCACAACTTCTGGAAACCAGTCCTTCCAGTGATTAATTGTTCTCACTGTTGGGAAATTTCTCCTTAATTCTAGGTTGCTTCTCTCCCGGGTTAGTTTCCATCCCTTGTTTCTTGTCTTGCTTTCTGGCGCTTCGGAGAATTAAGTTGACCCTCTTCTTCTTTTGGGGCAGCAGCCCCTGAGATACTGGAATCCTGCTATCGTACCCACCATAGGAGATCCTGAAGAGGCTGAGGGCCCTTTGGATGAGCGGGCCGTAGAAACAATGCAGAACCTGTTCCCTTTTGTTGGCTGCCAGCAAGAAGCTGTCAAAAGCAATCTAATCTCCAGGGTCTCTCTCTTTTTTTTTTTTAAATTAGCACCAGCTTGACATTTTCTACTGAATTAGTGAGCAGAACAGAGATGTCACGCTGAGCACAACCAGAGATGGCTTGCAGTAGATTTCTTTTCCCCCCTCTGGATTGTATCTTTATTAGCACATCTCCCTTGTTCAAACCGGTGTCTAACTTGTTTTCCATTCGGCAGAGACCAAAATCATGCCGGCTGACAGACGTGTGCTACTTGTTAAAACAAGAACGTGGTAAAATGGCTCGCCGTGGTCTTCTTAAGGACACAGTCCCAGTCACAGAAAGTTATGAGAAAGGGAGACTTAAACAGAACTGCAACGTTGGACTTTCAATGTCGGTTTGTTTTGGTTTTTGTTTAAAAAAAAACATGACCTTGTAGATGACCCTCACACTATCAAGGACCTTGGAGTACTCATCTCTAATGATCTAAGTGCCACAGCCAACTGTGCCAACATTGCCAAAAAGGCCTTTAAGAGTTGTTAACCTAATCTTACGTAGCTTTTTCTCTCGTAATATTGTACAACTATCTAGAGCAGTGATGGTGAACCTTTTTGTTGTGGTGTGCTGAGAGCATGCCCATGTGTAACAGTGTGTGTGTGTGTGTGTGTGTGTGGGCACGCACAATGCAATGCGCCTTGCCACCCATGCATGCATGTGCAACACCCCTGCCCCGCCCCCTTACATGCACGGTGAATGCACATACCTCCCAGCTAATTGTCAGCCCATTTGAGGCCGTTTTCGCTCTCCTGGGGGCTTGAGGGAAACCTCTGCAGCCTCGGGAGGCTGAAAATGGGCCCGTCTTGGTACTTTGGGAAGGCCCATTTTTCGGCCTTCTGAGGCTGCAGAGGAATAGAATAGAATAGAATAGAATAGAATAGAATAGAATGGAATGGAATGGAATGGAATGGAATGGAATGGAATGGAGTGGAGTGGAGTGGAGTGGAGTGGAGTGGAATGGAATGGAATGGAATAGAATAGAATAGAATAGAATAGAATAGAATAGAATAGAATAGAATAGAATTCTTTTATTGGCCAAGTGTGATTGGACACACAAGGAATTTGTCTTTGGTGCATATGCTCTCAGTGTACATATGAAAAAATAAAATACATTCTTCAAGAATCATAAGATACAACACTTAGTGATAGTCATAGGTTACCAATAAGCAAACGAATCATACTAAAAGTAAATTGAAATAACAATCCCGATAAAACTAAAAATTGGGTAAAACCCATGACTACACTTCTAAAGCCAGCTGTGCAGCACTGAGTGATCTTGCTAAGAAACCATATTCCCACAGCTGGGACAGTTAAGGAGAAAACCTGATGAGCTGAGACAGGTTAAAGAGAAATGCAGGGATGGCTTGCCAGCGTTTAAACCTCAGAAGCAATGGAGGAAGACAAGCAAAGAAAGTCAGGAAGGATTTGGAAGCCCTGGAGTGTTCCTGGGGAAATTTGAGACCTGGAATGCAGAAGCAACGTACTGAGTGAAGAAGGGAATGGTTATGGTTTCTAAGGACAGTGAAACCACATATCCAACAATATATGGCACCAAGAATAAAAAGCTCATCAGATTAAAAGCACGTCACCATGACAGAAGCAAGAACACCTGTTGGAGGTCTGGAGAAAATAAGAACAGTTACAAGGATTGGCTACGTCTAGTTTAATGAAAGGAAGGAGTAGGGATGACATGATAGTAGTGTTCCAATATCTAAAGGGTTGCCCCAAAGGGGAGGAGGTCAACTTATTTTCCAAAGCACAGAGGGCAGGACAAGAAACAATGGATGAAAACTAACCAAAGAGAGAAGCAATGTGGAATTAAAGAGAAACTCCCGAACAGTGAGGACAATCAACCAATGGAACAGAAGTTGCCTTCAGAAGTTATGGGTGCTCCATCACTGGAGGTTTTTAAGAAAAGATTGGACAACCATGTGTTTGAAATGGTATAGGACTTCCTGCTTTTGCAAGGGGTTGGACTAGAAGACCTCCAAGGTCCCTTCCAATGCCGTTATTCTATTATATGTATTAATACCTATTCATAGTCCACATTACTTTGTTGCCTGAACCGTCCAACCTTGTTATTTTGTTATTCTGCTTTTGTCTGGCAAATAGATTGCCATAAATACCAAACACTTACTATAATAATAAATTCCTAATAACCCCAGACTTAACAAATGTTGATAAGAAAGATTTTTTTAAAAAAAGTCTGAATAGTAGATGTGACAGGACCCGAAGACCGCAGAAGAGAAGAGAAAGAACTGGAGAAAATCACAAAATACAAAGTGTTGGTATATATTTTGTTGCAATGTATTTTTATGCAACAACTATAGTACTATTCAGCCACTTTACAAATTCGGATCTATGGAATATGCTCTATGTTCTTTTGTAAGAAAGTAGAGCTTCCTGTTTCCTGTTGCAGTTAAAATCGTTGAGCAGTAAAGCACATGGTGATTGTACTCTTTGATCTGTGGTGCTATGTATAAACAGAATGTTTAACACAAGGACCTGCAAGTAGAAGTAAGAATGTCTGTGGCAAAAGAAAACAAAGATAGCACCAAGAATGATAGGTGACTTGGGTGCATTTCAGTGGTGGGATTCCAATTATTATTTTACTACCGGTTCTGTGGGTGTGGCTTGGTGGGCGTGACAGGGGAAGGATACTGTAAAATCTCCAGTCACAGGTAGTATTTGTCGGTTCTCTGAACTACTCAAAATTTCCACTGGTCAGAACCTGCTGAATAGCACCTCTGGTGCAATTCCCAAAACCCCAGCGCACCAATTGAACCCCATCAGCATTGACAAATTCATCACCGGTAACTTGCCAAAGGCAGTTTTATTTAGAACAGCTGACATCCTCTGATGATACTTTTAACACCATCAAACAGGAACATCTGGCTATCCCAGATCCTTGGGAAAGACTCAAAAGGTACATAAAAATGTCAAACCCAGTCTGAACATCTGGCTAACTATGCCACAAATCATCATCTTCGTAAAATATATCATTCTATGGATGCAAGGAGAGCAGATAGAAATTGTGTCTCCCTCCTCTGTGTAAAAGCCAGTTTACAACAAGCAAGAAGTCCCTTCTTCTTAACAGAATAACGAAGTTGGAAGGGACTTTGGAGGTCTTCTACTCCAACCCCCTGTTCCATCAGGAAACCCCATACCCCATCAGACAAATGGTTT